TTTTTAAACTGTTAGTAATGAAGTATATAAAATCAGCAGGCAGCAATAATATCTGTTAGTTAATATAAAAGCATTCCTATAAGGGAAGATATTTCATACTGTAACTGATATAAAACTTCAGCAATCATCTGCACCACAAAGATTTGACCAGAATTGCTCTAGCAGCCTAAGGAGTCTCAGCAAGCACAGGCTGCACCTGCAGCCTCAGGTGGAAGGAGAGGTATCACATCTAGGTCAGCACATAGAAAGGGTGTTAGTTATGCAAGTAATATTTTCTAATGCACGTGGCAGCATTAAATCAGGCCTAACCCCAGTTTTGTTTACCTGACTGGATATTGATTGCAATGTTTGTTTGATTTTTATTTTTAACCATGCAAAAATGACTTCAAAAAGTAACCCTGGACCACAATTATTCACTTGCTTACACTCATCTGAATATTGGCATATGGTTGCCTGAAGAACTTATTCCAAGTCAAGTTAGTTACAGATTTCCTTACACATGTAGCCACGTGTTTGTTTCTATAAACTGAAGCAATTTTCTACAAGATATGGATAAAGTTATGTGTACTCTGAGTTAATGAGACAGAATTAAAGCATGGCAAATGTATATCCTGGTAGGACTTTGTTTACAGAGCCTTGTGTGAGCTTTGCAGATTCCAAGATTTCCCAAGACACCTTCAAATAAGAAACCAGACCTGACCCCCTCAGACAGAGTTATAAACTCTGTACTGGCACAGTTACCTGCCTCTCCTATAAAATAAGATGTGTTAGGTCCTGCACATGGGTCAGAGCAAGCCCAAGCATAAACACAAGCTGGGCAGAGAATGGATTGAGAGCAGCCCTAAGAAGGACTTGAGGGTGTTGGTTGATGAAAAGCTAAACATGACAGAGCAATGTGCCTGGGCTGCACCAAAAGCAGTGTGTCTGTCAGGCTGAGGGAGGGGGTTCTGCCCCACTGCTCTGTGAGACTGCAGTGCTGGAGTGCTGCATGCAGCTCTGTGGTCTCCAGCATAAGAAGCATATGGATCTGTTGGAGGAATTTAAAGAGGAGGCTATAAAGATGGTCAGAGGGCTGAAGCACCTCTCCTGTGAAGACAGGCTGGGAGAGTTGGAGTTGGTCAGCCTGGACAAGAGAAGACTTTTGGGAGACCTTACAGTTCCTTCCAGTTCTGCAGAGAGACTTTTGACAAAGGCATGTAGTGATAAGACAAGGGGGAATGGCATCAAACTGAAAGAGGGCAGGTTTAGATTAGATAGAAGGGAGAAATTACTTACTGTGAGGTTCGACACTGGATCAGGTTGCCAGAGAGTTGTGGACATCTGGTCCTTGAAAATCTTCAGGTCCAGGCTGGATGGAGTTTTGAGCAACCTGATCTAGTGCAAGGTGCCCCTGCTCATGGCAGAGGGTGGGAACCAGATGATCCTTAAGGTCCTTTCCAACCCAAACTGCTTTATGATTCTATGATTCTTTCATTTTATAGGCACTTTGAAAAACCTATAGTAATTTTGTATCTGATGTTCAATTTGCTATCATCACTCATAGATTTATAGATAAATAGGCAATAATTTGTTATTAAGAAAGCAAGCCTTCATTTTTATAGACTTAGTTACCAGAACAAATACTAAAATTGCAATTGCAACAAGTAGCTTTTTTTTAAAGTGCAAGACATTCATTATTTTCAATAATTCACACATTAAGAGTAGTTTGTGGAAGACAGCTAAGATCACCAAAATATGATGAAGCAAGACTATAAAACTGAGGGGGCTGGTAGAGGTGGGAGTGTTCCTTCATCTGCCTGATCATTGCCACATGTCTAGAGTGACTCAGTCTGGTCTCTGGTTGTTGCTACTATTTTTAAAATAACAATGGCTGACATGCAGTTGCTCTGCAATTCATAACTGAAATATTTATATCTCTGTGCAAATTGGCAAACTTAATCATGCAGTGGTCTCACATGGCTTCATTCAGCATCAATATTGGATATTGATGCTTTGTTTAATAACCTAAGCACAGAGTTTACATTCCATGTGTACATGAAATTTAGCAGGAGGCCTGTCAGAACAAACATGTGTATGTTTTTAGGGCCACCGGCTGAAACAGAGAAAGCCAATATTTCTTTGTCAAATGAAAACCTGAACTCCAAGGAACAGCATCTGCTGCATCAATATGGTAAGGAGCTTTTCACTTTTCAATTAGGGTTAATAAAATTGTGTTCTTTGAAAGAAAAGTAAGTCTATAAGTGATAATAGCATCACCTGGGAAAGATTAATTCTTCATAAAAAATCCTGCCTCCCTCAGAGTTTCAGAGAACATTGATACATTACTGTTCTCCATCTGGCATCTCCTGCAGCATGCAGTTCTTAAAGCTTGTTTTGGAACCTGCTCACAGGGAGGTAAAAAGGTCACAGTGTGATTCACATTTCAGGAGTTTTAGGCCACATAAATCCATAGGATTTATTTTGTATTTCACATAAAAAAATATAACATGTTTTATTATGTCTCTGAATGAGATTTTGAGTGTTATATTGTAAAGTATTTTACCAGGACAACTATAAAAAAAATCGTTGTTGCTTTTTCACAGAGAAACATTTGGAGGAAACAAACTGTGATGCTCAGCAGAACACTCCTGATGCTCCAGAATGTAAAGTAAGTGACACTCTGAGGTGTGAGGGGGTTCATCAAGTGAAGTGAGTTATATGGAGAGAGGTTTTTTCAACAGTGGTATTTAATGTATTTTCTTCCTCTCTTTGAAAATGTGAATAGAATGCACTTGGAGAGTGTCCTGTAAGTGTTGAATTGTATTCAGCATTCACAGAGTGGAATGCACTGGGCACTTCACGGGGACAGACTCTTCTGTTGCTGTTTTTCAATGCTTAGAAAGAAAGTAGCACAGGAAAAAGACACAGAATGTCACAGCATGGGATTCTGGGGACAATGTATGCAATTGTGAAACATTTTCCACAGCAATCTGAAAAATGAGATTAATATGTTTCATTCTGCAATTCTCAGATAGACATTTGAAAACAGCTTTGCAGTATTATGTAGCACTGATGTAGACCAATATGATTTGAATTTGGCAAGAGTAATGGATTTTTAAAGTTATTTATTGTTTATTATGAATTCTTGAATAAACAGGAATGTTGTTTTTGGGGGAAAAAGTTATTTCCATGCTCAGCATACAATGCTTGAAAATTCTTACACAAGCAAACATCACTTCTGTTGGTGCAAACACATGGAAAGTAATGTTAATTGAAATAATCCAAATTGGGACTAATATTTCATGTTTAAAGATTAACTAGTTTTTTCTTGATTGTGTTTTCAAAAAATGTTTTAAAAAAAAAAAAAAAAAAAAAAAAAAAAAAAAAAAAAAAAAAAAAAAAAAAAAAAAAAAAAAAAGCTGTCTCATTAAAATTAGACCTCCAACCTGACAAAAAAAATTGGAACAATTTTCTCATTTTTGACTATGTCATCACTATTATTTCTTCTTCTGCATGATTTAATCCATGATGGTTTATCAGTTCAACCTGCAAAATATTTTACAAGGCTGATATCTGTGGTATTGGAACTAGTCATGATGCAAGTCATAAACATTTCTAGCTTGCTGCTCTTTCTGACATAGTACTTGACCCTAAAAAAACAGCTGATCTTAAAAGCAAATAAAGTGCTAAAGTAAAGGAGATGGGAATGTTGGGATTAAAAGATTAAGATCTAAATTACAGAAAAATAAGAGAATAATCTATGTACTCTATTACTGTCATGCTGGAGATAAGAATGCCTTATTTGTCAGTTAAGGTGATTTATTTGATATATTATAAAAGGATTACAGAAGTACACATTTCTTTGCTCTTAAGGGGTTGTTTTCCCCAGCAGCAATTATCAAACAGAGTGTGAAAACAAGTATGTACTATTTTTATTCTGATACATACATGCAGCAGTTAGCTTGATCCCTGGAAGCGCTATAGATCTATTCAAGAGTAGGATAGATCCCATAACCCACACCAGACAGTGAGGACTGTGGGAATAATGGTAATCTCTGGTAATAAAAATGCTAACAAAATACAGCTCCGAAATACCACTTTAGTCTCCATCCTTGTCTATTGTAGGACTTCATTATTAAGATTGAGCTGGAAAAAGCAGAAAATGGAAGCCTAGGATTTGCACTGGTAGGTGGAAAAAATGGAAGGGCTATCCTAATAAAAGCCATCAGCCCGGATAGCAGTGCAGATCTAGATGGGAGACTTCAAGTTGGTGACATCTTACTTAAGGTAATGTTTGTTCTTCATTGCTTTGGCTTACAGTGTCTCCACTTCCTCTGTAAAGAGCATCTGTCCAATATAAAAGCGTGCAGGTTAGAAATCTGATGCTGCTTTGCACAGTAGCATGTAGAGGTGGAGTTCCTTGGCTCCTGGTGGTCAGAGGGTTGTCCTGGGGCCCGTGTGTCTTCCCTGGAGTTCAGCTTCCCATGGGCCGCCCCAGAGCTGGTAACTGGACACCCCAGCAGAGGCAGACCCAGAATCCCAGAGCAAGCAGCCAGCTTGCACCTCCTCCTGACTGTAATTGTGCCCAGTGAGGATTCCAGAGAAACTGCAGGGAAACCAGAGTTTCCAGTCTGGCCAAGCATGCAGGTCACAGCTAACCAGGCGCCTACTGGGAAGAACCTGTCACATTAGGTATTGCTAAGACAAACAAAAAGCACTGGAATTAGGGCTTTTGAGTCTTTATTTAAAATCTTACTATCCTAGCCACTCTGCCACCTTTCAATATAAATAATCCTTTTTGTTACACCAAATTATTTTTTCTTCTCCCTCCATGAATTTCAAAATTGTTTGATTTTCTGGCTTCCATTTACTTCATCTCTCCTTCATCTTCTCAATGAAGAATGGGAGAAAGCCTACTTACTGTCTCAGACTATAATTCTGTGGTGTCCTGCTGACAATCATGCTATAACGATACAGAGATGAAGGATCAAGTGAGTTAGTAGACAATGAGAATTCTCTCCCACAAATGGGAGAAAATGATGACACACGACACATGAAGTTCAAAGAAGTTATATAAAGATTTCCCAATGCTAGAATATATGATTTTAACAAAGGCTTTGTGTTACAGGAATCTGGAAATGCACATCATTGTCTTTTTCAGGTGAATGAGACTTTTGTGTCTGGTCTGCCACGCCAAACAGTTACAGATCTGCTGCGCAAGGCGCAGGGCACTGTTCAGCTCACTGTCTGCCGAAGCCTGGCTTTGCACTGGGCTTATTCAGACAGCCAGAGCAACAGAGCTTCCACTCCAAACACAAAAGCAGAGCCTGGTAAGCAGCCACATCCACCCATCATATGACAGAAGTGGGATTATATGTTGCCTGAATTCAACTTCAGTATTAGCAAAACAAGTCAATTTTACAATTAGTCCTGTTTCATAGCTGCCGGTACAAGCATTCTCCAACCTGATTTACAGCTCTGGCTAAAATGCTCAAGACATAGGACCACAGGGAAGGAATGCCCAAGTGTGATTTTTAAGTCTAGGAACAAAGCTGTAAGACTCTCAAAGATGCTTTAATTCAGCTTAAGTTTTTAAGTCATGAATGTTGGTCTGATTTGACCCCATTTTATGCAACTCACTGATGGAATCACAGCCTGGTTTTGGCTCGGTTGCTAAAATACTTCTCCCACAAACTTCACATCCCATCACTCCTACTTATCTCCTGGAAGCACTACACCTCCTGTTCTGTCTGGCAGACAGATCCTCTCTTTTCTGTGGTGCTCATGTTCAAATCCAGAAGCCCCTGCTCCCAGGTCTATTGTTATTAATTTGAGAGCACACCCATCTTGCAAAGGGCAGTACTGACAGACATGACTAACTCTATGGAAGAATTTTGTGCTTTATGGTCTCCTCTATTGAATACTCAAGTATTAAATACTAATTAAAGATGGAAGTGGAAGCAAGGATATAAAACTACCAATAGATTGAACAGTTATAGTCCTCAACTTTCTATTTCTTCGAATACTGAAACATTTCCTATAATGTGGAGAAACCTAAGTGGGAAGTATATAGAATTCCTCCTTCTGGCCTGTTGGTTACAAATTGAAGGCTTTGTTTCAAGTATTCTTAGTCAAGAAGACACTGCCATTGTCATTTTCTTCTTAAATGACATCAGTGAATTACATAGTTTCTGGGAAGTTTAAACTGTTTTCCTGCAAAACACAATGGTATTAGAGAAGTACAGGCAGCAAAGTTAAGCTATGGCATTTTTCCCTTAGCACTGTGAAGGAATGAGCTGGGTTAGGGAGGGCAGATTTAAATAGTTTAATGAGTTTTTATAGCTGCTGTTGATACAGGGCTTCACTTCAGTGTATCTTCTGTCAGTCTGAATTATGCTGGCTTCTTCAGTGGTGGCATATGGCATTTGTGCTCTATTAACTCTCCCAGGCATTCACAAGAGAGAGATTCCATGCCAGTTTAAGACACTGTATCTCAATGCCCCATCTGAGTCAAAGTCCTTTAGTCTCAATAGCAGAGAAGAAGTGAACCTATAGTTTCATGAATTTGATTTTGTTTTTGTTTTCTGGTATTCAGAAAGTGGTGGGCAAAGCCTGCAAACTCAGCCTGTTTTCAGTTTCAAGGAAGAAGGCTCCAATCAAATGTGCAATAAGGTAAAATCAGAAAAGTTTTCAGAAGTTATCAGGCAATGTACTCATGTTTGATTACAATATAAGTTTGCTGCAATGTGGGCAAGAACCACACCTTCTAATGAAAAAAAGTTCAAGGAGCTGCTGACATTTGAGTGAGTCAGGATTCCACTGAGATAAGAACATTTTATAAGTACAATACATATGCTAAAAGGGTGGAGGGGAGAAAGGTTGCATATGCAAGTCTTGTTCTGATTCTTTATAATATTGAAATGAATAATTTATTAATTTTACCATCCTTTCAGTATTTCTAAACTATGTACATTAAAAGATTTCTATTCCGCTATCTCCACTACTATTCAAAATTCAAATGCATCTAAATTTCTTCAAACATGTCTATGATTTCAAATGCTAATAAGTCCTGCAAGACATTACACATTAAATTTCAGAGCATCTATTATTTCTAAATTTAAAATTGTAAAACTGTAAATGTGAGAAAATTAGGTCTTCTTATCCTCCACAAGACAAATGAAAAACCCAAACCCTGATTCAAGTAAAGTAATTGAACCAGAGAAAGAAAAATGGTAATTTGAATTAAATTTTAAATAATTATTTATCAGATGTTATAGCTGAGAAGAAGCTATTTTCACATACTAACAGCAGATATCCTGCACCATTATTTAAATGCAGGACCTAGTTATTACTCTTTAGGATGGATAAACAGCCACCAGTACTATTGCTTCTATTGCATATGGAGGATAATCAAGGTTCTGCCTTCTCTGTTAGTTGAGTGCTTCTTCAGTAGAGCAGCTGCACCCTGCTTCTACTGTTGGCATTGTTGTGTCTAAGATAAAAAAAAAGGAAATTATTACTAACAGCTCCATCTCAGATGCTGGTGCTTCCTGCTGCCAAGAACTGGGAGGGGAAGAGTGTGACTCATGATTCCTGTGATTGCATTTTCTTTCTCAGATCAGAGAGGATATAAAGAACTTTTCAAAGTTCAGTTATGCATGCTGAGATGTTGAGGTGTCTCTAGACTGTATTGTTTTATTGTTCAGAAACTTACAAATGCAGCTGATAATGCTTTTTACTCTGACTAGTTACTGCAATACACATTTTCTTCTGAAAGTGGAAGGTCACATATTTCCCTGTCCTTCTTAAGTGAAGGACACATTTCTTTGAAAAATAAGAAAGAGTGTTGATGAAAGTAACTATATTCTTGATGTTTCTATGTACTGATTTTTCACAGCTTTTTCTTATTTGAAACATACAGGATGCAGAAAGAACGGATAAATCTCCTCTGCAAGGTCAGCTGGCTGGACAAGACTATAAGGACCTCATCAGTAACATTTCAGACAGGTAAGTCTTTCAAGTGAAGTAAAACTAGTAAAATAAATAGTATGGATAATTTATTTGTATATTTCCAGCTCTGTCCTAATATGGTATGGAAATGACAGAAAGACGGGTCTATGGGAATGCAGCTCCACCTGCAGGAAGAGCTGCTAAACACACAACTACTTCCACAAGAGCTTACACTCGGCTACTAAGACAAGAGAATTGAAGCTTCCAGGTGTAAGGGCTAAAAATTGAAAAATGTCCTACATGAAAATTGTCGCCAGCTATGAGAAACCTTACTTCCAGTCATTTTTGAGCAGCTTTTTATTCAGAGTATGATCTTACCTCTGAAAAAACCCAACAATTGCATACCAAAAATAGTATTTTTCAGTAGCTATATTTGCAAACAATACTCCAGATAAAATGCTCCTACAACAACTTGAACTTGTAATCTTCAGACTTCTGACTAATTCTTGAAAATAATTGCTCAAGAAAATTGAAAGTAAGCACAAATAGATTAAACACAAAATCTTTGGGTTTTTTTCAGTCTGTCAAAGCTTCTGCTACTTCAACTGACATTGTTTTGCAGGTCACAGAAATGTGCAGAATGTGAAAGCTGCAGAAGAGAAAATCAACAGTCTGAGTCAGGCAGCTGGAACAATGAAGATGATGTTATGCCCCACAGGATTCCTGTTCTACCTAGAAGTAATCATACAAAAACTTCTCTTGTTTCTTCAACAGTATAGCCCCGCACCTCCATATACATACACTGAGAACATTAGTCCCTTGTATACAAGCTAAGGATTTGCTCTCCAGTGTAAAAGACCAGGGCACTCAAGACACAATTTTTACTACTGATGCATAGATAGGCCATCCAAAATTTTGTAACTCTGAAAGGAAACATATATCATGAGGCCTTGCCTCTTCTCCCTTACTACTCCCATACAACTTTGCAAGAAAAACTTAAAATTCAGAAAAAAAGGTCAAATTGTACCTCAAGACTTTGTCCCCAGAATCACTGAATTTCACCCTCCCTGACAATTTAATTAAAATCTCTAGAACTGATGTGATTAAGCATGTACTGAAGTACTTTCACAGCTGGGTGCCAAAGCCACTTTGACACCCAGAAGAATTTACAGAAAGAATCTCCCTAATTGATCCTTTATGAAAATTAAACTCCTTCTGCTCCAAATGAGAATAATTCTTGAAAGGAATCATACTGAGGATGTTGCAGTATCTCACAGATTCTGTGAAATACACATTGCTCTCTCTCTCTCCTTGCTTCTTCTCACCCAGTGGAAGCAATGAGTTGCTGATGACTCTTATTAAAAGTAAAACACAGGTAGCTCCCTCACACTACCAAGCTTTGCTGGCCAACAAACAGAAGATTATAAACAATCTATCATCTACTACTGCTCGGAGTTTGGGGTTCTTTAATTCTCCTTCATCTGGAAGGAGAGGTGTATGGGAAATACACTGGCACCCTCAACTAGATAATAAGAGCCCCTTCAAGGGTAAGAAACTGGAATGCAAACAGAAAGTGTCTTAAAAGCTCAGGCAAAGCAGGGGCAAGTTGTAGCCCAGACAAAAACACAGCAAGCACAACTCTATTGTAACAGAAATTAATGAAGAGTAGCAATGATGGCTCACAGGAGGAAAGCAGAGCATTGCTTCTTGTCTTCATCCTGCAAAAAAAACCTGGGACACATCATCAGGTTTTCTTTGAGACAGCTAGTACATTCTCCTTTGCAAACAGTAGCCTATGACTAAAAACCCCAAATTCTATAATTCCCGTTCCTCCAACCATTATTTTTTACATAACAAGTTAATGTTTTTACTCAACACAGGAACAAAAGTTTTTCTATCACTCCAGTAGAATAGTGATATTTCTGAAGATGCAATGTTTATCCATTTTTCAAAACTGTCAAGTACTGGACCAGAGCATACATTTCAGGATGAGCTAAGTAGTAAAACTGAATCCTGACTTTGGTGCATCAAATATAGCTCATCTCTTGTTCTTGAAGGGCAGTGTGAGTTAAGATGAGAAGAAAAATATATTTGCTTACTTTAGGAAGGAAGAATTTGCAATGATTATTCCTAGCAGTGGAGTGCAGCAATACTAATTGGCATGGAAGTGTTGGAAACATGAAAACGATTCTCTGTGAAGATGTGGCCAGAGTCTCCTATGCCAGTATAAGCTAGCATTAAAGTCTCCAATTCTGCAAGAACAATTTATTTAGAACAGACTGTATTGAGAAACTCTGAGAGGAAATAACTTGAAATAGTTGAATCTGCTTCCAAATAACATGAAATGTGGTGCTGGTTGTATCCATAATGTTGACTTATTCTTCTTTCTGCTGTGAACATAAGTAAGTTGAAAATATTTTCTTCCATTTTCTCACATTTCACTTCCACAATATAAGCAGCAAAATATATATACACACTGCAGCTCCCTAGTTTTTAAAGCCAAGATTCTTCACTATGAACAATAATAATTAAAAACTTCTTAGTTTTTTGTTGTTGTGTTTTGGTTTTTTGTTTGCTTTTCTTTTGTTGCTGATGCATAGACAGAACCTTTGCATCTGGAGATGAACTGACTCAGTTAATTAACTTGAAACCATCACAGAGTGGAGTAGATCCAAGGACTGACATAACAGGTCTTATTCAAGGCCTTCAGCTGCGGATTGAGAATCAAGAGGTGCTAAAGGAGTTTATGGTAAACTTTGATTACTTCCTAAGAGTTGACAGATCAGCACAGCTAAGAAAGTGACTTTCCATACAGTGCATACTGTATGGGACTTCAGCTTGTATATCTTTACTACATCCTTTTTCTCTGACAATTATTCCTGCCAAAATGGGGTTTCTACTCTGCTGTTTGGGTGGTAGCACAGTATTTGCATCTCTCTTTCCATGCCTATCAGCCTTACACTGTTCCCTGTTCAAAGATACTGCCCATGTAGAAGGAAAATAAATAATGTAGCCTTCCTAATGTAGGTTAGGAAACACTTTTTTTCTTGACTGACTTCTTCCTATTACCCCCTCAGCTCTGTAGAACATCTGCCTAAGAACTATCCTAGGGGCTCCCCCTAAGCAAGAAATGCATGCTGCTAAGGATTCACTAGTGTAGAAACATTTGAAAGGAAAATGTTCCATACAATGGAACACTCCAGTTATCCAAGGAACTCATTGCCACAAGATGCTGTTATGGACAGGAATTAGTGAAATTACAAAGAAAAAGTAATGTACCTCCACAGATAATGAAACACATAATTACATCTGATTGCATACAAATAACAAAAAACTGTAAAATTAGGAAGGCTTGTAAAATCTTTTGTTTCAGATCATAAACAGAGTATGAAGTAATCATCAAATTCCTGAAGAACAGATTATTTCATAATTCTTCAACATAGTACTGGATTTTCCTTTAAAGGAAATGCTCATTACCAGTGAAATGCATTGCTGCCACTTTTCCATAGTAATTGCAATGTTATCAGTTTCTTTCACTTGCCTTTATATCTCTGACTTTCTGGGTACAAAATTCCACAGGCTCAAGTGTATAGGATTTGCTGACATTCCCTGAAGGCTCAAGGGCATGTATTCATTTTCATTCATTACATTCCATTACTGATGTAGGTATAGCTTACTATGAGCTGAATCTCACGTCTGCACAGAAAACATAAAGATCTAATAGGTAAAGTTCTGTCTTTATTAGCCAGTGTATATTTTGTCTGAGTAAAAGCCATAGTAACTGATGAAAGTGTTCAAGAACTGTCACATGTACTTCAGTTCACACTAATGTAAAGTGGAAGAATGTGACAGCAGAGTATTGTGCAATGCACAGCAAATAGGTAGAAGAATAAAAAATATTGAGGCAACACAAAAATGTAATTAAATGAACTTGCACATTCCTGCTTCTGACTACCCTGAATTCAATTCCCCTAGATTTGCTGTGAAGTTCTTAATGACTGTATGATTTGCACTTACTATCATTGGTGCTGTTCCCTATATTCACCACTTTCTCCATCACTGAAATGTATTCAGTCATTTTTGCACTGTTAATAGTGTAATAGTTAGTGCTTTAGTTATTGTGTTATCAATCATAAATGCTGGCATTTGGCCAAGACAGTATTCCAAACATCTATAATATAGCAATATATAACAGGGACTTGTAATGATGGGGGTCTGAGGATGAGGGCTGGAAATATCACTTCAAAATGCAGAAATACTGTGCAGGGTAAAGAAAATACAAAGCAAATTGAACTCCTTGACTAGAAGTTTAGAGAATGATGTACTGATTCTCTTCTGTAAGAAGTCTATTTGCCAGTCTTGGTTATATGCAGCAGTAAAGTTTGTTCACACTGACACTGTAAAAGCTGTCTGGTGAGGATGTGAACAACATGGATTGACTATTTCTTTTTGATCTAGGCTTTAGAACATGTGAAACCAATAGATGACTGCAGAACTGGCAAAGCGCCAGAAAACCAGAATAAAAACAGATACCGAGATATCCTTCCATGTAAGTATGCACAGAAATGAGAACATACGTTTGATGAACAAAGTCATCAGAGAATCATGAAAAAGCTTTCTGGACCCTGATGTCTTTCTAAACTGCAGCAACAGGACAACACATGCAAAAATTTGTAGCTGTGATGCAGTATATATACACTTAGAGATTTTCCTGGTTTGTAACACCAATATCCAGTGACAACATTCCTATGCAATACATGAGAAGCAGCATTGGGTACACAATTTTAGAACACTGGCAACCAGTTCTATAGCAGAATATAGAATTTCATGGTGTTACACAAGTACCTTAAGATAAATAAAGCTGCAATGAACCATAAAATTCCTACTTGCAGTGGTTAATATTAGTGCTACTAGTCAAATGTATTCTAAAATCCAGAGGCATACTTTTCTGGAGAGACTGAGGTTTGCTATATCCTGAGTGCTGGAGGATGGTAGAACCCTGTTTCAGATCCACAGCTGAAATAGCATCTTTCTGTTTCTGTACAGATGATAAGACACGAGTTCCTCTGGGAGAAAAGAATGGCTACATTAATGCAAGTTACATTAGAATGAATGTTGGAGAAGAGGAACACTTTTATATTATAACCCAAGGGCCTCTTCCATCCACTATGGCCGATTTCTGGCAAATGGTCTGGGAGAGTGAATCAGATGTGATTGCCATGATGACAAAAGAAGTGGAGCTAGGGCAAGTCAAATGTCATCAATACTGGCCTGAATCTCCGAATAACTCTAAAGACCTGGCTAATTTCTATCTCAGGCTACACAATTACCAGATTCTGGAATACTTCATAATTAGAAAAATAGAAATTATCAACAAGCAGGTAAGTTGACTTAATACTTTCATATATGATGAAATTGATTATGCAGTTTACGTGAGTGGATATAAGTAGTTTGCTTCTCCCATAATATTTGCCCAATATTTTTTAGGGATGTAAAAAGCTGAATAACAGGTATGAAATTAGGATTAGTGAAGTGCTTTTTTTTTTTTTCCTCATTGTATAAGCAATGGATCCAATATTGCATACTTTTGGACAAGAACTTCCAAAAATGAGATTTCTAATAGTCATAGAACTGGTGTGTTCAGTGTTTGCAGAATTGTTTACTGTTCTCATCAAAACACATCACCACCAGAGTGGATTCATATTCTGTAATGGTGGTTGGATGGAAAGAGGGGAAAAAGGTGGTTTTCATCCTGGAATTCAGGACAAATGATACTTTTTTGTTCATGAAAAGACACAAACACAAATGAAACTACAAATCTAGCAGCAATTTTTTAGAAACAACAAATAAAGAATCCGGGTGGAAGAACACAGAAAACGGCAGGTAAATGTCCATCATTCTTGCCTCAATATTAAGTAAAGATTTGCAGAAATTTCTGCAGGACATATTATTTAGTGGCATAATTAAAAAACCTGTGTCAGAATAAACTTGGTGCCTTTTCCATCAAGAAAAAATTTGAGGAAATTCACCTTATGTCACTGTGTGCGATGCATTGTAAAGGATTTGATATGAGTCTTCTCGAAAGACTATAAAAATAGCAAGATGGAATACCATATGTGATTGTTTCAATGAACATGTTCAGTTTGCTATGTTTGTACTGAATTAGTAGCAAACTACTACAGAAAGCCACAGCAGAAATCCATATCTACATTCAAATTCTTCTAATAGAAAAAATCCAGGTAGTTAGTTAGCATTGAAATTTTAACATGGCTTTGTGAACTGGCAACGAGAAGTGTTGACCCAGGAAAATTCAATATCACTCTTCATTTTATCTACATTTTATTTATTCTTGTAATCATTTTTAGTTTCTTTGCATATTGAGTATCTAATCACAAGTTATTCTTTTATATCTGATAGCCATCAGATATTTACAATTTTACTATTTTACTATTGTGGCTCCCATATTACTACTCATCTATTAGTAAAGCTTAGTTCAGCTACAAAAACAGTTTTAGCAAACAGTACTGCAATGTTCTAATTTGAAAAATGTTTTTCTTTTTCCTTTCTAACCAACAAATTACATAACTACATTCTTTCAAGGCAACAGAATAACTTAAGTGTCTCGTCAAAGTCATATGAAGTAAATTTCCTAGGCCTGTGTTTCTGATTGCATTTCTTGAAACCTAAAGAAACTTCAATGGAGTAGAGTATGAAAAGCTAAAGAACTGTAAACAAATAATTTTAAGAATGAGGCTGTAGGAAAAATTTTAGTGGAATTCCTTGAAAATTGGTTTTGGAACTGATAATTCTTAATCTTTTTGGTCTCTCTCTTCCAGACAGAAGAAAAGCGCATTATAAGTCATTTACAATTTACCACTTGGCCAGACCACAATACTTCCAAACTGGCTGAGCAGCTTGTAAAATTTATTTGTTACATGAGAAAAGCTCACAGGACAGGACCTATTATTGCTCACTGCAGCACTGGCATTGGAAGAAGTGGAGTTTTCCTGTGTGTTGAAATTCTTCTCAGCCATATAGAAAAAGATTTATGTGTACGTATCAAACAGGTCATTGTTAAGTATTACAAACTTGCTATGGATGTTAACAACATGGTGGGAACATCTTAGAACAGAATAAATCCTCTAAGAATTCACCCTAACAAAATGGAATAAACCCAGCTTTCATTGTTTTAAACAACAAAGATAGTAACTGCAAATATGCTATTTCTAAAAGAGCTGTCACAGCTTCCCCATCTGAATATGCTTAAATCTTTCTTTCTAACTTGCATGCCAACCCAAATAAAAACTATTCTCTTCTGACAGTTCAACATCAAGCAGATAGTGAGAGATTTGCGAGACCAGCGTTTTGGCATGATCCAAACTAAGGTAAGTTCTAAATATGCAACTAGATCATTATTTTTTTAAAAGCCTCAGTCAGTGCTTTGATAAATCTGGAGCTTCAAATATCATTTTAGTGCTCTCATTTGAGGAAAGTAATAGCCTGATAGGCAAGGGGTGTCTAGTTTTAAATATGAAATTCAGTCCCTTATTAAATAAGTCAAATATAAGCAAAGCAGCAATATAGGACAAATACAACACATGAACCTTTCCTTTTCTAAAAAAAGAAGAAAAGCAAGTATCACAGAAACAGGGATTTACTATAAACCCTACCCTGCAAAATTTTACCTGTTAGTTGAATTCTTGCTATTGCTGAGTTATCATCACTGAGTAAACCCTTCTACTCCTGAGCTAAACCCACTCCTGAAAATATTTTCACACAGGAAAAAAAACAATTGCTAACTCACTTTAGGGAAAACAGTTGGTGAGAATAAAAGCAAGAGAAGACTAAAGTTCTTCCTATAGGCAAATATTTTAAGCATATGCTTTGATAGACTTTTCTTTAGGATAATGATTGAGCATGTGACTAAAATTAAGCAAATACATAACCTTCACAGTCCTAAATGAGGGTTGAGCACTTAAACTACAGAGTTCCTGTACTTTTACCAATGATGGAACAAAAAGAACAAGAATTTTCTTAAATATGTATGTTTTGTATCCACATGACATAGATGCTGATGTTATAAACCTGTAACATATAACTTCAGCTAATCCATCCTTCTTTGTCTAGAATTTATGTTGAATGTAACCAGGTGTTTCACACTGATGTCTTCACACACAGGACGAGTATTTATTCTGTTATGAAGTTGTGCTGGAAGTCCTTCAGATCCTGCGAGCAATGGATTCCTACTGAATATGATTCCTACAATATTCCTACATTATGACTCTTCCTGCTGCTGTTCCACTTGGAGTCCAGGGACTGCTCAGCAACTACTTTATAGAGATGTCATGCCAGTACAGACAAGTGTTATATGCTTTTTTAGATTACAAAGTAGTTTAAAAACCTTACTTAACATGTCCTGTGTAAGTAAGTTATTTCTTGGCTCAAAGTATGAAGAAACAGGCATCCAGCACTGCAACACTGCTGTGTTAAATTGCTACAGACAATTTTTGCATTCTGTGTAATAACATATTCATTGTTTGGAATATGTGTTGGGACTTTAGCAAGGATATAGCAGCCTTTGGAATTAGCTTTACTATCCAGAAGGCAGCTGTAAAGATCTAAGTTTCTATTGGTGTTAGGGGAAGATTACTTGTCCCTCATCTATTGTTGTACACTGTTTTTGGACTGCAAATCAGTGCTTACTTCACCAGTTATGCTTTTGCATGGAAGGATTTAATTTGGTGACCTTTGGTTTCTTGAATAATGTAGAACCATTTCCAGCCCATGAGTTTATACCACTATCACTAGACATCTTAAATCAAGAAACTGACAGAAAAAATAGGATGCCTTTAAACCCTAGTCTTCTTCAAAGGAAGAGAGTTCTAATAATTGGATGGAATATTAATTTTGTCCAGCAATATGAACAGATGCAGATAGCATCAATATTTTCATTCTACATTTATAGAAAAGGAAATGCAATACTAAGCCAGGTGAAACAACTGTGTGTGCGTTGTGGTACACAAATACATTTAATCTTTACCAATCCTTTACATTGATTAACTATCTTCTCATTCTTACCTAGGATCTGAAATATGGGATGTCCTGCTGGTTTCAGTAGGGACTGAATCAGATCTTTAAATAAAGAACTCTGTGTACAGTTTATTTTTCTTGTAAAAAGTGTTTCTGTTTATGTGGGTGGATTTGAGCAGAAAACTGCTGTTCAAGCTGTAAGATTGTATTTGTTTCCATTTGTAGTACTTCTAAGTCCTTATCTAGAAGGTGACATATGGAAGTGATTACATGTGCATTAGAAGAGTAATTTGTAAACACAGGAAACTGAAACAATCTAACTAAATTGTATATATTTTTAAAACTTACTTGGTTTCCTCAAAAGAGAAAATATAAGGAGGCATTGGGTATAAAACTGCAGTTGAAGAAAGAAAATAAAATAACTATTTATTTTATTACCTATTACAAATTAGACGTTTATAATTCAGAAAGAATGGGTTATTAAATAAAAATGTAAATTATGGCTTTTAGAAAAAGCCACTGTAATACAATTCTAATTAAGGATAAGGTCTATTTTTCCTTTCTGCCCTCCAATATTCTGGATGCAGGGAAATATAGAAATGCAATTAATTATGTGAGCCAGATGCTAATTTCAAACATATTAATGAAGTTCCAGAGCAATGCTAAACAAATCCAGGAGTAACCCTGGATTTATTTTGATATAAACATATATAGAATTCAAAGTTTTGTCTTAAATCAATTGAATTTGCTCCTTCCTCAAAGTATTATTCTCCATACATTCTGCTTTTATGTTGCATACAAAGGACTGTTCACATAATTTTGTCAAATATCAACAGCCAATTTTTTTCTCATAATTTTTTTACCTTCATTTGATATTTGATCTTTCACTTTTATTTTAATTACTTCACATGTACTACTAGGCAATCAATGCATTACACTGTAATGAATACACAATTCATCTTTTGTACCACAATAATTTAATAAGATTCCTAGTGAAAATATTCCTGTACTTTATGCAAAGGTGATTTTTTCTGTGGCTTAGAACAAGTATTCTCGACTTAGAAGACAATCCTCATAGGTCATGATTTGTGTATCATCTTTGCAGCTGTTTGACAGATGTATTTGCTGTTTGACATAAGTTTTTCCTGTTTTACAGAGATATTAAAAAGATTTATTAAAACAATCTGCTTAATTTAATTTTCTTTTTATAAAAAAGCAGCTGCAATACCTAACTATTAACCAATTTGAGCTCTAGGGAAAATATTTTATTCATAGAGGCTTGTCTTTAAACTTCCTCTAAAGTCAGATTTTGTGATGATGTCTAGTGGAATCTGGCCACATCCAGCAGCTGATAAACATTTCCCCACACACAGAGCACAACTGAGTGTCCCACTTTTGTGTTCTTCATTCATGCAAAACTCCCTGGAGATCGAGGTTCACTGACATGCATTCATTTGGAACACAAGATAACACACTCTTTAAAGCGTTCACACTACCTGACAAATCAGGATACACTGAAAAGAAAGGAAAATCTATTGTCCCATTTCATTCATAGGGAAGTGAGGCAGTGGTTGGTGATTTGTCCAAGGTCTACAGAGTTTTGGAAAACTTGGGAACTAAACACAGATGCCAAAATCTCTGATTCTTTGCCTACACATAAAACTATCTTTCCCCAGTCAGAAAAGAGGATCATACTGCTCTGGATGATTTCTGATGAGATATTATTTAGCATCTGAAGTGCTCTGACTGGAATTTGCACACACCTTAATATGCAAGAGATGTGTTGTGACAGAGAGCCTCAGTCTGTGCCTATGGTCACTCTTATTCAAAAGTGGCACTGAGAGCATCCTTTGTGCTCCACCACCTGGCTGCCAATCAGGACAAATTACAGTGCAAATGTGAATAAAAAGGGCATGATTTTTGAAGACAGTGCCTGCCATAAGAAGCACACCAAACAAGTAAACATATGCCAGTCCTTGGACTCGTACCATAGCACAAAACCTTGTCAGTTGTACTCTGTGTTCAGACAGCGGCTCTGTCCACAGAACAGCACACCTTGTAATCATATTTTGGAGAAGTAACTGTTTTTCCAGCATTGAGACTACTGTTAAGCTTTTTATAGCTACCATTTAATCTCAATTTAAACGCAAGTATAGCAAGGACAACCACTGCATAGCTGTAAGGTTATGAAATCATGTGTGCAGGGGAAAATGGGAGTCCACATTTTTCTATTAACATTTTCATTGAGTTCCATGGACTCAGAACTGCTTAATGCTGAGGTCTCTGTTTACTCTAGTACCTTATCTGCAACAGAAAAGATACCTGAAAATATCCACACCTGATGAAACAGGTTACTGTCTACAAGAGGATTGTTAGGTTTAAATAATTGACTTTAAACAGTAGCAAATTGTCCTAATATAATCACGTTTCCTTTAAATTTTCTTAGACACCCTGAGAGATGAGCCAGTAGGTTTTTTTCCTGTCTTTCCAGTGGAAGTTGACGGCCTCACTGAACAACAGGCCCTTTTGTGACAGAGCTAATACAGCGACTCAGCGGGTCCGTCCTGGAGAAGAGCAGCAGTCGCTGCCACCCGGGGCAAATCGCGGCCGCCACAGGGCTGAGCGGCCCGGCGCTCCTGCCCTCGGACACACCCGCTCCGCGCCTCTAGCTGCGGAGCTCACACAGCCACGGAAATGTAACCGAGGCCTTCTGGCAGATTCATTCCACTTGCTAGCTGAAACAATGCCACTCTGACTTCTTCCTATACCTGCAAGTGCAGCAAGAAGCTCTCGCAGGAACGTTCTTTCTATTGAATAATAGAAATACTGAATGCAATTATTTTCTTGTGAAAAAATAATACCATCACTGAAATGACTAAAATGGGGCACCCCTTCCACAGACAGGGTGTGCACGGTGTGTTGCACCCACACTGGTGCTGCACAAGTCAGAGTTCCTGGCATCTGAAGGGACGTAAGTTTATCTATACTATTGTCTCTTCCTTTAAAGTGTTAGCATTAATAAATAGTACTTTAAATGATACTTTGCATAATCTGAGTGTCTTAATTATTGGAATTACATAGGAGCAGCAGCTCCAGCTTCAAGACACTCAGTTAGTAGTGAAGGACAAGGTATTTCTCACAGCTATTGAATCACAAAGATGGACTGAACGTGAGGGCTACCTGCCTACTTCTTGCAAAGCTGACTAAATATTATTGTAATATTACAAAAAGAGAAGTCACTTGAGCTCTTTACCCAGAAATGAGAGCCCTTGCAGGCTAAGCCGGCTGAGAGTTAGAGTCCACTATTAGATTAATCTTTTAAATGTCCAGTAATGTGTGTGATGGAAAGGTACAGCACTTACAAACACGTGTAACACTGAAGTGTAGTTTGCACATAATCTTGCATAGGTGTAGTTTTGTAGTGTTGGAATTAATCTTGGGAAACCAGAAAAGTATTCTGTATTGTCATGCTGATATAATCAGTTTTGTCTTGGTCACTTTGTGCACATCAGGAATAACAGAACTTCATACTTCATTTGTGCTTCTCCAGGCCCAACAGCATGGAACAACTAACACTGGATCCCAGAACCACAACTGGGAATAGTTCAGATTGGAAGGAAGCTCTGGGAACCGTCCAGTCTAAACCTTCCAACTCCCAGCACTGTCACCTTCAGTTCAGGACTCTATTCTGGGTTTTGGGTATCTCCAGGATGGACACTCCTTGACATGTCTAGGCAATCTGTTCTGCTATTTGGCCATCCTCAGAGGAAAAAAGTGGTTTTCTGATGTTTAAATGAAATGTCCTGGATTTTCATTTGTGTCCCTGGCATTTTGTCCTGTCTTTGGATAACATTTAGAGGAATCTGTTTCTGCTTCTTTACCTCTTTACTTCTTCCCATTTAGGAATTTGTACATATTGATAAGATCTCCCTGAGCATTCTCTTTTCCATGCTAAACATGCCCAAACTCTCTCAGCTTCTCCTTACACAACAGACATTTCTTAATTCAAATTTCTTAATCATCACAGCGGCCTTAATATGCAAGTACTGGTTTAGAGAGATTATAAGATCCTATCCTGCATCCAACAGCCTACTGAAATTAGGAGATAGAGTTTTTGGTGCCTATTGACAAGTGATAGCTGCTGTTTTAATGCCACTTAATGACTGATCAAGGCCTGAGAAAACAATAAGGAGATAAGAAAAGATGCAGAGCATGGAGCATATCTTGGATATCA